AAAACATTTTAGTTCTTGGTCTGGTCTTTGGTCTCTAGTTTTGTCCATTTCGGTCTTTATTCCAGTCTAAGACCGATGAATACCTGTTAATGTAGAGACCTATTGTGATGAAGAGCTAGAGAGAGAACTAGATAAATAGTTTGTTGTTTAATTTCCAAATTAAACATCTCTATGTACTTTGCCCCATATTTTTTTAATGATAGTCCAGAGCACCAAGACAAGCTTTGTACATTTCCTTTAATGATAGTGATTTAAGTTTAATGTACACGTCACATTTCCTTCAAAGCTAGACGGACCATTACAGGAAAGACTACTGAAAGACTACTGACTACTACATATTTCTCTTCTCTACATCAGATTTTATATCCTCCTCCCTTACATCAAAATCCTTACTAAAAAACTACCCCATCCTTCCAAATTTGAATTACTCATTCATTTTAACGAGTCCTGACGGACTTTATTTTTAATTCAATTTATTTAATTATAGGTCTAAAATTTAAAAAATGATATATTTTTTTTTATTTAAACATATTTTTATTAATAGGAGAAAGAGAAGAGCTACAAGGCAGATTGAGTACTGCCCCCCAGCACACTAGTTTGGGGTACAATTCCAATCGAACATGGATGTTAAAGTAAATGTAAAGAGAAAGTAGCCAAAACATGTAGGCCAAAATGCAAAAATGTATAGAGCATGTGAAAGGTGCTGGACGTCCTAGAGGAGACAAACGCTAACAGCCAAAAAAACAAATACAGCATGCATTCCATATTTCCATAGCTGGACAGTTTCATTTGCTACCTTCCAAATCGCATCCAAGAAAAGCTTCATCAAACAAGTGTAAGATGCTGGATAGGGTCCATTGCATCTATTACAATCTCATTCCAATCAAGAAGTTGTTGGAGATGCTGGGATTGAAGAAAATCCTGAATACCCTTCAATACTATTGTTGAAGGCTTAGATGAACCAAAAAACTCATATCGAATCCCAACCAAAACAAGAATTAGATATTGACAACCACTAGAAAAGAGCTAAATGCCATAGGCACGGGCATACCCAAAACATCAAGAAATGTTATAGGCCATATCCAAACTACAAGGAAATGAGAAAATAATCAACTGATATCAACCGAGCTCGATATGTGTTAATCAACTAGCACTTTAAAGCAAACCTTTCTCTTGAGTTAAGCTTGATTTGAGATTGGATAGCCTCTTGCTCCTTCTTGGTTTGGGGGAGTCCTTGAATTGTGAGCATAGATGTTCAAATTTCCTCTGATTTCTCTTCATACTAGCTTCTTTTCTAGCATGCCAATCCAGGTCATCCTCTGATCCTCTATCTGTCACCCACTCGTCTTCTGATGCATCTAAAAGGGGGTTATAAGATTTACTCATAACCTGCCTATCTGATCCTGAGTTGTAACTCAAATTTTTGCTCCACTCAGAGTTTTCCAAGTAATTATCTGAATT